GTCCAAGCAATTCTCCTACCTCAGCCTCCCAAGTAGCTGGGATTACAGGCATGAGCCACCATGCCCAGCTAATTTTTGTATTTTTTTTTTTTTTCATAGAGATGGGGTTTCACCATGTTGGCCAGTCTGGTCTTGAACTCCTGACCTCCCAAAGTGTTGGGATTATAGGCATGAGCCACCGTGCTGGCCAGGAAGAGGTTTAAGACCCCAATCTTGGATCCTACATGTGTATCCACTTAACCAGAGCCCCCAGGTGTCAAGAAGTCCCTTGAAGCTGGGAGGGTGTCACTGCTGCCATCAAAGCTCCAATATTGAAATTTAGGAACACACAAAAAGTTCCTGTGAAAGAGAAGGTATGGAACTAGGAAGACATGGCCATTTGAGGAAGATCAGTGTTCTCTAACTACCTATTTGTGTGAACCAGCCCGAAGGAAGTAAGCGATTCTGGTAGTCTTCAAAGAAACGCGTGCTAATTTATAAGCAGTTTAAGCCAGGCGACCAAAGCTTATAGGGGGTGCAGCCTTGCCTGAGGGGCAGGAGTGGCCAAAATCAGCATAAAACATGCAAAGTGGGCTTCCCTGTAATAATACGTGGCACAGGCAGACAAGCCTTTGGTCAGCTCCTCCAGTCCTCCGCAGATATTCATTAGGTTCAGGGCTCCTCAAGTCCTCCGTAGATGTTCATTACGTTCGGTACACACCAGGCTCTGCCACCTGCTGTGGACCTGAACTTCGGACTCTTCTCTGGCCTCGCCCGCCCTTAGCTGGGGTGCTAGGGCCGGGCCCTAGGGGCGGGACCCTCCAGGGTGGATAAAGTCTCCAGGGCTTGGGGACCATCAGGCTCACAATGCAATGAAACTGTTTCTGCAGTTTTCCTTTCCCTGCTTTCCCTCCTGAGTCCCGCGCCAGGCTGCTTCCAGCGGGCACCGAGGACGCCCAGAATTGTTGGGAATCTGGGCGGAGGCTGGGCATGGGCTTGGAGGCCCTACTGGGTCCAGCAGAGGCAGCGGCCTCTGTGCCACGCACGCACACACACCTCCTCTCCTCCGTGTGTCCACATACACACGTCTATGCACATACCTGCTCTCCATACATGCACAGCCCCACACACAGTCTGTCCTTTATGTGCACACACACTCGAGAACACAAGCGCAACCCCTCCATACCTGCAGGCACGCATACACCCGACCCCGCTCTTCCCAGAGCACACACCAGTCCCTGCTCCCCCACCACACACACTCGTGCACGCACTCACGCCTGACACACCCGGCCCCCACCTGCTGCCCCATGTGCACACACAATCGTGCATACAGCCGGCTCCGCTCCCCCACGTGTACACACACATGCACACACGTGCACACACCAGTCCCCGCTCTCCCACGTGTCCACACGTGCACACGCCAGTCCCCGCTCCCCCACGTGCACACACACTCTTGCACACAGCCGACCACCTCTTTCGCCAGACACACATCGTCACAGGCGCGCACAAACGCGGCTCCTCGGCTTCCGAGCGCACGCCGCGCGCGCGCACGGCCTGTTTCAGCGCAGGCCCCGGCTCCATCTCCGCACGCGCACGCGCACACACGGACACGCGCGCACAGCCCCTCCCCGCTCCCCCAGGGCGCGCTGCACTGGCGGGAGGAGCGGCAGACAAGAGGAGCCGCAGAGGAGGAGGAGGAGGGCGCCGAAGGCGCGAAAAGGCGCGCAGGCGCGCTGTGCGGAGAGGGCCCGCCGCCGCCCACGTCACCGCGCCGCGCGCACGTCACGCCGGCCCGACGCTCGGCCAGGGTGAGCCCCGCGTCCCGGCGCCACTCGGCCCAGGGCAGGGACCCCGCCACGGCCGGGACCGCCCGGTCTGGCCCCCGCCCGCGCCTCCCCGCGCCGCCCGGCGCCCCGCGCCGCGCCCTCCCCGCGCCCGCGCCCGCGCGGCCAGACCGGGCAGCCAGGTGCGGGCGGGCAGGGGATGCCGCGGGAGCCGCGGGCGGGGACCGAGGGTGCGAGCGGGACCCCTGGCCGCCCCATCCCGTGCCCTCGCTGTGTGTAGTCGCCGCGCGGCCCCGACCCGCGCCCTCCCGCGCCCCGCGCGCTCCTGTGCCCCGGAGACCCCGCGTGCTCGGCGCTGGTTGGGGCTCCCCAGGTGACCGCGGGACTGGGGTCCCTGGGCCCGGCCCTCCCGGCCGACAGCAGCGCCCGTGCCCCGCGCCAGAGCTGGGACCGGGGCCGGAGCCGGGGGCAGGGTCGGCCGGAGCGCGCAGGGCGGGGGAGGGGAGGCCGCCCCACGGCGGCCCGCTGGGACCCGGTTCCGGCGCGCGCGGGAGGCGCCTCGTGCGGAGGCGGCCCTAGGCCTAGTGACAGGCGCGCGGCGCGGACCCCGGAAGCCCACCTGTCAGAGTTACCGGTCAGCCGGGCGGGCGCCGCCGGGGTCTGGGTGGACGCCGCGAGCCTGCACGTTGCGCCGGGACCCCGGGGCTGCGCCCAGGTGGGTGGCGGGGGCCCCCCCTGCAGCGGCGGGAGGGAGGCGCTGCGCCCTGGCTGCCGGGGCTCGGCCCCACCCTCGGCCGCTGGGCGGGCAGTCGGGGACCTAGGGGTCGTGGTGGTGACCATGCGGGCCCGCTGGCCACTTTTCCGTAGGGGGCATTTCCGTCTGGCCAGGTGACTTAAAATCGAGTGTGGGAGTTGTTTGGCCAGCTTCGCTCCCAGGATGGAGGGCGCCTTTGGGAAGGAAGGTCCACGTTTTCTTTGAGATGTGTTATTTTTTTAAACTTCTTTTTCATTCTTACTTATTTCTCGTTTTTTCTTCCTTTTTTTTATTTTTTTACCAGAAAAATCATTTTTCTTCTCTGGGAGGGTGAACATTTATAGCATTGATTTCCCGGATCTGGTAACATGGCAAAAGATGTAAGTATGTTTGCTTCATGCTCCACACGAATGTTTGCTTCGCACTAAATTCTTTGTAGTTTGCTGCTTTTATTTCAGAATGATAACACATAAGCTACAGTAGTGTTTATTTTCAGACTTTTAAAGCGTCTGAAGCGGGATGAAGGTGAAAGATGGAAGGATCTGATCTCTGAAGCTGTGCTCACCACCGGCTAGTTGTGGTCTTGGATACCACACTGTGAGGTTGGGTAGTGCCTTCTGACTTTTTGCTTATCTTTAACGACTGTTAATAATTTTGAATAAACTCCTTAGTTAAATGAGGTGGAGGGCATTGCATCCCCACAGCGAATTCCCCATTTCTTGGGGGGCTTCCACATGAGACGAGGGGTGAGGCCAGCACTCAGGATGTAGCCACCTGCTGGCACCTGTCTTCCTGCAGAGGAAGTTAATTCCACTTGGTGGACCAAGTGCTAAGCACTTGTTGTGACCACTTTCTCAGAAGGATGAGATTTGGTGATTCATGAAATCTGGTAAAAAATGGTAGCCTGTTTTGTATTTGTCATGAAACTATAGAATATTTTGAATAATTTTTTAAACTTGTGTGGGGAAAGAGACTTTTAAGGCCAGAAATGTAGTCAGTTTTATTCTGCAGTTATTTGCCATGCTTTGTAATGTCAGTCACTGAAACAGCTGGATTTGTTAGTGTTTTCCACCACGCATCACTCTGTAACTGTGAGTGAAAGGGACTGTTGATGTGTTTACCTGCTTACCATACAGAGTTGGAAACAGGCCACACGTGCTACCTCTGCCTGAGATGCAGCGAAAATGCATCAAGAATGTGGAGCCCTCCACAGGCGCAGAGGTTTCAGTGGTCCCTGCAGGATCTTGTGGGGCACCTGCCCTCCTTGACCTACCACCACACATGTCACACAGCATCCCGGGCTTTAAGCACTGGGGTCTGCTTTAGAGAGTGTATATGAGCACCCAGGTAAACCCAGTGTGGGTTTTTGATGTCACTTGTATCCTCTCCACTATGCTTGTCGTACCATGCCCTGACCTGGTGTACGCACGCACTCCAAGTGCCAGATGTGGGCATGTGCTCCACGGACAGCCATGTTCATTACGTCTCCTCACGGTGAGGAGCTGGGCCTAGGGTCTTGGTTAGAGCACGCTTCTGGTGTTGTGTGGTTTCCTGTGTGGTTTCCTGAAATGGTTCTCAAACACACTTTGATACGTAACGGATGGTGTCTCCAGGGCCCTCTTTTCATCCCCCCTTGATTTCATTGGCATTGTCTGTGAGCAGCATGTGTTGTAAGGCTGGGGGTGGAGAGCGTACAGAAAGGTGTTTAGGCTCTGCAGGAGCCTGAACGCTCCATCCAGTGTGGGCATCTGAGATGCAGCATTTGCCAAGGGCTGCATAGGCATGGAGTGGGGGCTTACCTAACCCTCGAGGGTTGTAATCTTAGTTGGTGGCTGGCGCTGGGAGGAGAGCAGGATTCTACAGCTGGTGAGGCCTCCTTCCCTGTTCAAAGCCTGGGAGTGTTCAGGAGTACTGTGTCCGGCTGGAAAGGGAGGTTGTGGGGCAAGTCAATGAATTTGATGTTTTCTCTAGCTTTTTTTTTTTTTTTGAAACAGTTTTACTCTGTCTCCCAAGCTGGAGTGCAGTGGCGCAATTTTGGCTCACTGCAACCTCTGCCTCCTGGGCAACAATCCTCCCGCCTCAGCCTCCCAAGAAGCCAGGATTACAGGTGTGTGCCACCATGCCTGGCAAATTTTTTTGTATTTTTAGTAAAGACAGGGTTTCACCATGTTGGCCAGGCTGGTCTTGAACTCCTGACCTCAATGATCCACCTGCTTTGGCCTCCCAAAGTGCTGCGATTACAGGTGTGAGCCACCACGCCCAGCCTAGCTAACTCTTTTTTAAGTAGTGGTGTGACATTCCAGTTTTGGAAAGATGATGTTGGCAGCTTTTGCACAAGGGAACGTAGATCACCAGTTAGGGTATTTTTTGTTTGTTTTGAGACAGAGTTTCACTCTTGTTGCTCAGGCTGGAGTGTGATGGTGTGACCTCTGCTCACTACAACCTCCGCCACTTGGGCTCAAGCTGTTACCCTCCTCAGCCTCCTGAGTAGCTAGGATTACAGACACCCGCCACCATGCCCAGCTAATTTTTTGTATTTTAAGTAGAGATGGGCTGTCATCATGTAGGCCAGGCTGGTCTTGAACTCCTGACCTCAGGTCATCCACCCACCTCAGCCTCCCAAAGTGCTGGGATTACAGGCATGAGCCACCGCACCCGCACCCAGCCCACCAGTTAGGTTTTCAAAGCACTGCTACTGCAGTGAAACCACAGGTGTGTGTACAACAAAAGACCTTATGCTGGAGGGAAGCTGTGACACTTGGGTTTAAGGAGGCAGGCCTCCAGCTTCTAAAAGCCTTGGGGCCTCTGCAAAGGGCCATAAGCAGTCACGGGATACAGGGAACTGGAGCTAGGCCCTGGTGGTCATCATGGAGGAGGAGAAACCAGGACACCCGAGACCTGCGACTGGAAGGTTCTGGAGAGAAGACGAGAAAAACAACCCAGGAGTTTCCAACCTCAAGTAGGGCACAGGGAGACAAGCAGATGGGAAATGGCTCCTTGTGAGTAAGGGGCAGAAAGAAGAGGATGAGGTCAGTCCTCTGGGGGTGTCGTCTTCGAACAGCATTTGACAGGAAATGGGTGTGAAGGTCTACGTGGCAAGGAGCTACACATGAGGAGGGAGGTGCTTTGAGAGGTTTGTAGTGTGTGTAGGAAATGACTGCAGAGCAGTGAGGAGAGTGATCACTGATTGTGCAGTAGGTGGAGAGTGAGTGGTGGTGGTGGTGTAGTGGGTAGAGATGAGTGGTGGTGGTGGATTAGGTGGAGAGTGAGTGGTGGTGGATTAGGTGGAGAGTGAGTGGTGGTGGTGGAGTGGGTGGAGAGTGGTGGTGGTGGATTAGGTGGAGAGTGAGTGGCGGTGGTGGAGTAGGTGGAGAGTGAGTGGTCGTGGATTAGGTGGAGAGTGAGTGGTGGTGGTGGAGTAGGTGGAGAGTGAGTGGTCGTGGATTAGGTGGAGAGTGAGTGGTGGTGGAGTAGGTGGAGAGTGAGTGGTGGTGGTGGAGTGGGTGGAGAGTGAGTGGTGGTTGATTAGGTGGAGAGTGGCGGTGGTGGAGTGGGTGGAATGTGAGTGGCGGTGGTGGATTGGGTGGAGAGTGAGTGGCGGTGGTGGAGTGGGTGGAGAGTGAGTGGCGGTGGATTGGGTGGAGAGTGAGTGGCGGTGGTGGATTACGTGGAGAGTGAGTGGTGGTGGTGGAGTGGGTTCTGTACAGTCACAGGAGGTGGAAACAGCCAGGAAGGTAGGTGCCTTTCACGTTCTCTCAGCGGGCCCAGCTGGAGAAATGGTGAGAAGGATTAGATTTCTGCTCTCTTGCCCAGGTGTTTGTTTTTTATTTGTTTAAATTAAATTAGTATATTCAAGTGGAATATTTCTTTATACTTTGATGATTGGGAAAATGGAGAACAGGAGTCAGCTGCTAGATGGCCACCTGGCTGGTGCCAGGAACCCGAGGCCTAGTCTTGCCTGGCACGAGCGCTAGCACGACGTGGGTCACTTACAGAAATCTGTTACGAAGATGATGGGCTGCACTGGCACTTTGGGAAGGATTTCCTTGCTGTGGGGACTGTTTCCATGCCTTGCCCACCCAGTGTGTGACAGCCTGGGGTGCAGTCTTGTCTTACATTTGCAGACACCCTGCGAGGTTCATACAGATTCTTTTGAGTTTCTGAACTATCCTTGAAACGTGTTAGGCCCTCCCCTTCAGGGCCTAGAGAGGCTGACCTCCTCCGGTGATCCCGAGCAGGGTGCCTGTGACCCGCAGATCTGTGGGCTCCCATTGCAGGTATGGCTGCTGCTCTGGAACCGTTCTCAGATTTAGTTTGGGAAGGTGCTTTGGCGCCTCCTATAGAGTTGGGCAGGCCATAGGCACAAGTCCCTTCTGCCGCAGGGGTCAGGCTGTTCTAGAGCTTGGCTGGCAGGGCCCTGGGGTGAGAGAGTGTGGCCTGGCACTGGCTTCTTGGCCTGCAGCCATGTTTCCTGCCTGCCCATGCAGTGTGATCCTTGGTGGGATCAGGCAGGGCTGTGCGTCTCCTCTCCCCACCCCGGAAGATCCTGTCCTCACACACGGTTGTCCAGTGTCATGAAGGTTTGTGAGTGGGAAGGCAGGTAGATGATGAATTCATCAAACATGACAGGGATGCTTTTGTTGTGAGACATTGGGGTGTAGCCCATGTGGGGCTGTTTCTGGGGTCCTGTTTGCCTCTCCAAGCTCCTCCTGCTGTTTGTAGGTAGAAAGATGCAGGGAATCTGAACCTGCTCTTGGTCTGTGTGGGGACTTGGACCTCGTCAGCTCCCTGTGCAGAGAACGTGGCTGTGGATGTCACTTCCCAGCATTCATGGCATTGGTTGTGAAAGCTGTCCTGTGGTGCCTGTTTGTGTCCTGTCAGTTTATGGGGAGATCCTGAAATTGAGAGCTGGGAACCAAACGAGTGGGTCCCACCATGGAGGCGTTTGAGTGATGTCACGAGGCCTCGCTAATGCCAAGAGGGGACCAGTGAGGGTCTCTAAGGGTCTACGCACCAGGTGTCCTTTTACAGACCTGGACGATGACATTTGGGTCTGAGGAGGTGAACCTGATGGAGGAACAAACTGCCATTTCCTTCAGTGTTTGAAGAAGTGAGTTCTGGGAGCAGGAGTCAGCCACTCAGGCCTTCTTTTGTCTGCATAAAGAAACAGCTTTACATTCGAGGTTCAGAAGGTTGTCAGTTTAGCCCCCTCAGGTTTAGGTGTTGAAGAAATCTAGGATGACATACCTGTTTTTACAATAGTCTTTTCATATTTCAAGATGATAATTATTACTTTTGAAACAGTTTCGCTCTTGTTGCCCAGGCTAGAGTGCAATGACAAGATCTTGGCTTACTGCAACCTCTGCCTCCCAGGTTCAAG